AAATATAAAGAAATTATAAAGAAATATAATATAATTATATTTCTTTATAATTATATTATTTATATATAATTATAAAGAAATTTCAATATAATCAATATGTGATATTTCAATATCACATATTGATTATATTGAAATTATATAATATTATATTAAAATTATATAAACTATATTAATATATAATAAAAAGCCTCTATAGAAAAACATATATATCTCACTATCAAAAAAGAATATATTCTTAAATAAAGAATATATTCTTATTCCAGAAGAATATCATCTAAAATCTTTAAGAAAATTTTTTAAGTATAAAATCTTCTACTTACGAGAATATAATTTTTTCGGTGATAAAATTGATGGTTTTTTGTCTCAAGTTGTAGTAAAAAATTTGTTTCTGGTGCGAAATAAAAAATGAAATTTTTTACTCTAAAATCGCTGGAAATTAAACAATTGAATGTCCTGTGTACCGTGATTAGTGTTGACAATGCTGAGCTTAGCGGGTTTGGTGCTGGTGAAAGGATCGCTCGTGGAAGTTCTCGCCGCACAGGTCCAGTATCCCGTCTGCTCGTGTTTGGTGCTCGAGAATCTCACGGAGCAATCGTTGCTGTTGTTCCCGAACGAAGGAAATTGTCGTACCGGCAACGGACGGGTCGTGGGAGTCGCCGTGCTCGCGATCGTGGTCGTCGAGATCGCCGTGGCTGAAAATCACCGGGGAATAGATATTCGAGCGAGAATACCGCCGATATGCATATTCAGCGCGAGCTATTGCAGAAAATTATGAATAATGTCCGCGCGCATATCGAGCGCGGAGAAAGATAAGTAATCGAAGACCGTCTATTAAAAAAAAAAAAAATAGTTATTGCGCGCGAAAACGTGACGTAAAAATTTCGAAAAATTTCTTATACAAATCGAAGATTCCAAATTGAGAAGAGATTTTGACAAACTTTGCTGTGCGAAGACACTCTCGTAGGATGCGACAATCGATCTTTTTTTTAAATATTAATTAATCGCGAATTAAATTAAATCGCGCGAATGTCAAATCGAATTGAACGCTGATTGAGGGCTGATTGATCGCGAAAAAAAAAAAAAGAAACAATGTTACGTAGTTTCGCGCTCACTCGTAGAAACCGGCGGGCTTTCACTGACGTCCGGAAGCGGCAGGTGAACCGGCGTTAATGGCTGCCAGGACCACTGGCATTCGGCCACAGGATTGGCCGTTCGGCATGCCAACAGCACGGACGAGCCCAGTTCGGTTTCCGTGTGCTCCGGAACGTCGACGAACACCAATGACAGCGGTGGCGGCGGCTTCGTACCCGGCATTATGTCGTCCATCGAGTGACCTTCCGCCTCGGGAACGACGGTCGCTTCTGAGACATTTCCGGTTTCTCCGATCGTGCTCGTCTCAACGAGCTCATCGGCCACAGGAACACCTGGTGAATCAATAAAAATTGCAAAGTAAATTTGCGAGTGTGCGTTTTGAGTTAAAAATTAATATTATCGATTTAATAAAAATAGAATGTTGAGAATTCAGAAGCTTCTAAACGTCTCAAAGTTAGAAATAAAATTGTCGCTGGGGATCAAAAATAAGAGAGCTATATGATGGAGAAACTGAGATTCGGAAAACAAAAATCGCGCGCGACGGGAATCGAAAGTCGGCAGTCGGAAAGCCGACGCGACCACACGACGTCGCGAAGAACTTCGAGCGAAACGGATATGTGGGACACGTCGGGCAGGAAGCTAACGACAAGTCACGTAGACAATCGCCTTGCGTCGCGCGTCTGTCACCATGTGCAGATAGAATCAGGGTCGGATCGATAGTTCGACTCAAATAGTTTATTACAGTCGTCCGCGGATCTTCGAAAAACACATCAGCAGGTTTTACTTTTCGCGCGTATCGCGCGATACCATTTGTATTTGCAGAACCGAAGAAACTTTGGCGTTGCGCAAGAATCGTCGCCGACGAGGCCGCGTTCTATCTATATTGCGCACATGTGTTACAAACGTAATTTGCATTAATATGTCACCAACGATGATTATTCTAAAAACACATACATATATAAAAGATCTAGAAAAACAAATAGTATAAAGCACCGAGTAAATTTTATAATTCTATAAACACACAAAAGAAAGAGAGAGAGAGAATATAAGATAATTATGTATTTTTAATAAGAGCAATGTGTTTTTTTATAAATTTATTAGTGAAGCAAATCCACTTTTGATCTAATGAATTTTAAGGCTTAAAGTTACATACACCGAAAAAATTGTATTCTTGTTTTGAGAATATCCCACTTACTTTAAGTATATTTTATACTAAAATAGGCGCCAAGAAGAGTTTCTTATTTTAAGAGGAAAATCCTCTAAATAGTAATATTGATAAGATAATATACTGATTAGAATATAAAGAGCCTCTATGGAAAAACATATATATCTTACTATCGAAAAAGACTATATTCTTAAATTAAGAATATATTCTTAATATTTCAGAAGAATATCATTTAAGATCTTTATAAGAAGATTTTTTAAGTATAAAATCTTCTACTTACGAGAATATAATGTTTTCGGTGTACTAAAACAGAGAATCAAATTTATTTTAAGAAATACACTTATATGTAACAAATATCGATTGTTAATTTCTGTTGCTGTAAACACATATCAACAATATAATAAAAGAAGTCGCGCAATGTCAGCTGTTACACCGAAAAAAATTGTATTCTTGTTTTGAGGAGAGATATCCCACTTACTTTAAGTATATTTTATACTAAAATAGGCGCCAATAAGAGTTTCTTATTTTAAGAGGAAAATCCTCTAAATAGTAATATTGATAAGAATATATACTGATTAGAATATAAAAAGCCTCTACACAGAAAAACATATATATCTCACTATCGAAAAAGACTATATTCTTAAATAAAGAATATATTCTTAAATGAAAAATATATTCTTAAATAAAGAATATATTCTTAATTTCAGAAGAATATCATCTAAAATCTTTGAAAAGATTTTTTAAGTATAAAATCTTCTACTTACGAGAATATAATTTTTTCGGTGTACACTTCCAAGTTTTAAATCGCAGAATTAAAAAATTTTCAAATATCGTAAAAGACCCAATTACCGTCACCTGTCCAATTACTGTCACCCTGAGCTATTTTATTTAAAATATTAAATAAATCCTAAAAAGTTATGCATGAAAACAATCTAACATAGAATTTTAAGTGCAATTAATATAATAAAAAATCCAGCACTCAACATTCTTGTTCTCATTTCTTTCATTTTAGGGGGTGACGGTAATAGCTCTCTCGCATCGTTCTTTTTTAATTATTAAATTTATAAATAAAAATAGAGATTTTGAGAGGCGGTATTATTTTGTTTCTTATATCAGAGACATCGAATAATACCAGATAAGAAGAAAAACACGTGTTTTTGATCAATAAATAGTAAAAACAATTCGCTAACGCCAGAGTTTATTATCCAGGTGACAGTAATTGGGTCTTTTACCCTACATATATAAAAGATCTAAGAAAAAAATAGTATAAAGCACCAAGTAAGTTTTATAATTCTATAAACACACAAAAGAAAGAGAGAGAGAGAGAATATAAAATAATTATGTATTTTTAATAAGAGAAATGTGTTTTTTTATAAATTTATTAGTAAAGCAAATCCAATTTTAATCTAATGAATTTTAAGACTTAAAGTTACGTACACTTCCAAGTTTTGAATCGCAGAATTAAAAAATTTTCAAATATATAAATGATGAGATGGGTGTAGTCAGCTTCAAATTTTTTAAAAATAAATAATATATGAAGTCATTAATATTATTTATTAAATATTATTTAATAATAATTAATATTATTTATTAAATAATATTTAATAAGTAATAATGCAATATTATTTAATAAATAATATTAATTTATAATATTATTTATTATTTATTAAAACAATGGCTGTTTGAAGCAAAACACTGATGATGATGTGTATGTAATGGCGTGTTACTTTATTTAAGTAACCTAATATTAACGTTTTCGACCTTCGAATTAGGCCTTTTTCAATATAAGTAAAAAATAGTGGTGTTCATCACATGCGCGTGGACATGGATATTTAAAGTTCTTGAAACAAACTTGACACAACTTCGCATAATTACGCTCACCGAGTTACAAAGTAACTGGAGTAACTTAGTTTTCTTAAATAAAGTAACACGCCATTACATACACATTATCATCAGTGTTTTGCTTCAAACAGCCATTGTTAATGACTTTTAATATTATTTATTTTTCAAATATAGTTTTTTTTTTTTAACGAGCCTCCAATAATGATTTTTTTAATCACCGTTCATCGGTGATTATCGAAAGAAGAGACGCCCCTGTGCGTCACCGCGCGCGATCGCACACTTTCTACATGACGAGTATGTAGTACGTATATACAATTACACATTCGCGCCCGAAGTTGGTCCTTGGTGTATTGTAGCGTAACGTTTAAAGCCGCGGGACTTTACTTTTGAAGCCGCCGATCCGCCGCCGTCCTCAAGAGACAAACGCGGAGTTGGTCGCTGACACTGGAAGGTCGTTTCCACTTTACATTGACATACTGATGCGGCGGCGTGTGTGTGCGTTTTACGGGCGTTACGTGCGGCGATTGACTTCTGTCAAAGCAGCCGAGGATTCCTTTGATGTCGCAATCGCGTTGCAACAAATTATCGTAACAGCCCCGCAATTCCGCGCGCGACAACACTTTTTTTTTCTCAAATAGTATAATAGGTGCGGAAAAACTGGTGTGCATATGTTTTTGATCTTTTAATTTCCGATTTTCGTTTTTAAACCATTACGATATCTTCGTACCGTTTCTGGATATTTGTGAATTAAACGAACGCGAAATTTAAGTTCCCCATTTTCGACAAACGCGATATCGCGCGTTATATTGTATCCCCGTTTTTCTAATTTACACCACGTCTATCTTTCTCGTTCGTTTTAATTTAAAAATCAACGCGGGGGAGGGGGGGGGCAAGCGAGTTGGAATTTTCAAACCGAGGAAGCGAGCTTATTCCGTCGCGAGTTATGACCTAGACTTTCTTACACTTTCTTTGTCACGCAAATACGCGCCGCGCGTCTCTCAGCGAGAGGAGTTTGTTTTTTTTATTGCCTGATAATCAGAGGTCTCTCCAGATCGAATTACATACATACCTACCGTCCGAATGGGTTTTTCGGGAGGGGGCGAGAGATTAAGAGACACGGCCGTGACAAATGCGACAATGGAATCTCGTCCCGAGAGAGACCATGAAGCATAGATGTGAGGTAAGAAGCGTGTAGCCGAGCGAAATCGATCTCGGCCGAGAAAGATCAAGAGAGACCATCGTATGGCAAGAATTTTGCTCCGTAATTAAAATCGCAACCTGTGACGGCCGTTGACCCCCCCCCCCGTAAGCGGGGGGGAACATCGATCGCGCGATCCGGTCGATTCGATTTCGTCCTCCGATTAATTGATTCGCTCCGCTCATTTTTGCGGCACGCAATGACGGTCACGACGGATAATGGCCAAAGAGAAGATACGCCAAGATAGATGATGAAATCATTATATAAGGTAAAAATTTTCTAACACAGAAAAAATATAAATTTGCCACGCGCAGAAAATCGTTCAAACAAACGCAAATCGTTGAGATGACGCGTGACTCGGGAATTCGTTTGCGTTTTTAAGTAATTTAAGGTGTTACCCTCCACGTCCCTGCGAACGCGGGGGAGCGGAGATAGTTCTATCTCACTCCAATTAAGGAAATGGTAACGTCGATCTTTCTCATACTTAATCATAAAATCGCTCGTTTTCTGTGTTACTTTAATTATTACTGAAAAACTGTACAGGCGTCTGATTTTTCACACATATTTTCGTTGTGGTTTAAAGAAGCTGTGGTAATATTTTTAGACAAATCTGAAAATTTGAACTCTAGATATTTAGGTAAATGCACGTGATTTCCTCATTCTCCCTATCACTTCCGTGTTAAATCGTGCGAAACTCGTTTTCGATTTTCTCAAAAACGGTAAAAAAATGTGAAAAAATTCAGGGATTCATAGATCAGGTTTTTAAACATTGTGCAAAAGTTTAAAGTAAAACTGAAAATTAGAAAACAATCGAGGGTGATACCTTAACTATCCACACGTGAGTGTATTCTTTCACCGAAACAATTATATTCTCGTAAGTAGAAGATTTTATGCTTAAACAATCTTCTTAAAGATTTTAGATGATATTCTTCTGAAATTAAGAATATATTCTTTATTTAAGAATATAGTCTTTTTCGATAGTGAGATGTTTTTTTTTTTAATAATTAAAAATAATATAAGTAAAATTATTATTATACTGTATTAGTTTACATTTCATTATAAGAATAATAATTAAAAAGAATATAATAATAGATATAGATTATGATCATTAAAAATAAAAAATTAAA